AATATTGCACTACCACCTTCATAGCGACCCCCTACCTCCCAGCAGCTCTGTTCCTGTGCCAATGAAAACCACACAGAATGTCCATCACTGACCCTTGTGAAAAAATTTACACAGACTGCTGTCTTGCCAAAGCCAATAGCATACACATGCATAAACCATACGACGATAGAGTGAATGTGTCCCAATGCAAAGAATAAGTTTACCTGGATTCTCTCTCTGAGACCACGAACCCACATCAGTTTGGATACTGTAAGGGGCATATTATAATGGCACGGTGGCGATAAATGACCCTCCCTGAAGATATTTTTCACTTGCTGCAGCTCTGCGATGTAACTGCTGAACAGTCTCTCATCTACATCTCTGAGATTCATCTAGAATAAAAATTGAAACAATATGTCAAGTAATCATTGTTGCAACTCATTAACTCTTCACCTGTAGTCCTGTTTTGCTTTTCAGCGTAAGGCTTTGATGAAGCATAGGGTGCGAGTCTTGTTATGTGCTAAGTAGATGCTGGATTTTACAGACTGGGATATTCCATTTATCCATCGCTTGCATGGTCGACCTCTGGGTCTCGCCAGCTAAAAAGACTCGCAGAAAACAATCAGATCATTCTCCAGTGGATCCCGGGTCACTGTGGCATACCAGGAAATGAGTTAGCAGACAGACCGACTAAAAATGGAACAAGGGAGAAACAACACAACCCTCCATTGTCATTACCAGAAATCAGAACACTTATCAAGGGAAAATACAAGGAATTGTGGAGAGAACAAACTAACAGCAAAAATCCACAAGACCCCATCAGCAAACTCAACAGAAAGCAACATACAACAATTTTCTGTCTACAAACAGGACACTGCAGGCTCAACTACCACATGCATAACATAAAGATTGTACAGTCCCCACAGTGTGCCTGTCAAACAGGACCACAAACACTTACTTGAGCCCATTCTGCAGACCTGCCCACTCTACATACAACTTCAAAAAGACACCTTGCCTCAAGAGCAAAGTGTGCAGAGCAAACTATGAGGAGCCATGAAGGACCTGCTACTGACATGCGAGTTCATAGAGGCAACCCACCTGATGGTCTGATCTGAGCATTCGAAACCGAACGCAAAGAAGAAGAAGACCACTAGGTCTGCTCACTGATGCCTAAGTGACAGGGTTCTCTGTGGTGCACTATCTGGTGTTAGACTTGAAATATGTCCAAACCATCTGATCTGTTCTGTCTTGATGTAAGTCATTAACTCTAAGATTAATAAACATCATCATCATACAGCAGCTCCTTTCATCAAGCATGCCAAAAGGTCACTCAGTGCCTTTCCAACTTTCATCGCCTCATGAACTTTCATGCACAGGGTATCCTTGTTATCCTATTCACAGGCTTTAAACTCCGGTGGAAAGTTCTAATTGTTCAACTACATCTGGACTTGCTCCAGAACTTCCATTTTACAAATCTAACTTTTATGCAGTCTGTTGGTTCCTTTCCTCTCAGGTAGATGAACTCTGACTTTGGAGGAAGCTCCCAAATGGTTGACACTTATGACATGCTTTTTGGAAGGCAGTGAGTCTATTCTTCCCCCCCCCCCCCCCCCCCCAGAAAGGCCCCAGAGTCCACACAGTGAAGTTTTTCAGTTTCAGAGAAACAAACTTTTATTGGCCAGTCTTCTTTTATCTAATATAACACACTTGCAGTATATTTTTTGTGTTATTTGAGAAAAAATGTGTATGAACCTGTTTTTTAATTAGTTTTAACTACATGAAGTTTGAGATTTTTAATTAACACAACTTAACTCTTCCTAAATTAAGCAGCGCACAGCATTTTTTCTTTTAATGCATAGCTAATGTGTGTCCTATTTCCTTGAGTCCCATCAAGCTGTTAAATTAACCCCTTCTGTTCTAAGTCTTAGCCTAATTCCTAATGCATCATCTTCAACATGTGCCTTGCCAGACTGCATAAGTTGTTCAAGTCTTCCCAGAAATATGGCAACAGATTTTGCAACTACGTTGTCTGTGAAGTGGTTAATCTTATGCCAACCATCCTGATGGACCTATTATGACATGCATGATAACTTTATTGCTAGCTTCCCAGTAACACAGTGGTAATTTCCGGATAAATTAACTGTTAAAATATTAAAAGGACGGAAAAGTAATATAAAAATAGTCATGACACACAGGTAGGGCTACATATATACAGCACATTTGATTTTTCTGCTTCTTTTTATTAGTGGTCCCCGGCTGTAAACTCCAGCAGAAGTTCCGGTTGCTTGTCCACTTCTGCTGGACTTTGGTCTTGTTCTAAAACTTGAGTTATGCTTGCACATCCATTTACAGGTCTGGCTTGTTTGTATGCAGACTGTTGGTTCCTCCCCTCTCAGGCAGATGCACTCTACCCTAATTAGTCACCTTTTAAGACATGCACCTTAGGGGAATAATGGGTGCTATATTAATATCCTACCCCAAACAGGGGAAATCCACAGGTCACGGGACAGTCTAATATTTCAGGGGATGGTAGATGGGCTGCTTGCAGTCGCAGGACCTAGGCTGCACTCTTTCGTGGGATGTAGATGGGTTGGGGTTAAGGCAAGTTCTAGATGTTTTGGGGTCGTTAAAAGCATCAGAAAGCCGGGAAAACCAGTCTTACCACCCTAAAAAATGTTGGGCTTTCCTGTGATGTCATCTGGGGTCGGGTATTAATAAAGAACCGGATAATGTATCTGTTCTTTGGACGCCCAAAATGAGACAATTCAACCCACAAAGGGAACACTTGATTCAAACCTGTACAAGTTGTCTGCTGCTGATTCCTTGAAAGACCTCCAGCAGACGCAGCTGTGAATGCATCATGGGACATTCTTCAAAGGCAAACTTCAGAATTTCAGACAGGTTCCTCTCCAAAGACTGTTAATAACCAAAATAAATATAACTAATAATGTTATGCGTGAATTCTAAAATCTTCTTCTTCTTTTTCGTTCGCCGGCTGTAAGCTCCGGCAGAAAGTCCAGGTTATTTGTCCATCTGGACTTTGGCTTTGTGCCAGGGCCTGAGTTTTGCGTGTACATCAGTTTTACTGGCTTATCTGTGCGCTCGGTTGCTCCTTGCTGCTCGGGAAGATGTACTCCGACTTCAAAGGAAGTCCATCCCTAATTAGTCGACTTCTACGAAAAGCTTGTTGGGGAGGTAGTGGTTCTATTCTTGTTTTTCCCCAGAATCCACAAGGGAGGTTAGGAAAAGAATTCTCATAAGCTAGATAGAGCCAGTTTTAACATATGGCTGGGAATCCTGGACAACTAATAAACAACCTGAACAATATCTTGAGGCCTCAGAGATGTCGTTTTACAGAAGAATGCTTAGAATTCCTTGGACAGGCTAAGGAGAGTAACCACAATGTTTTGAAAGAGGCAGGTGCTCAAACAACTTACCACATACATCAGAAAGACAGTCATCATTTTTTGGTCAGGTTATGAGAAGACGAAAAATGGAACATGTTGTGACCACTGGAAGATTTGTGGAAAGAAAGAGAGAGGAAGACAGCATTTTGTCATAGCATGAAGGGGTGTCAACACACAAACTGATACACGCAGCTGCAGATCGCAAATTATGGAGAGGCATGATTGCCCACGCCAGTCGGCAAGGCACTTAATGATGGTGATTTCCTGAGCCACATTTATGTTAACAGAAAAAAAAGACAGAGGTAAAGTAGTGGGGGGTGCCAAGAACACTAGCCTACCTGTCCAGGTTCGTGTTCACTACCCTGAGACAAAGATTTTGTTTTAGCTGATTAGTCGCCAGGTAGGCCGAGGGGGGAAAAACTGGCAATAAGACATTTTCTGTATTACACAGAGATGCTGAAGCCTTTAGAATCCACAGTGACAGTGAGATCCAGATAATGCACTGATGATGGTAAAATGCTGGAAGTGTATCTGATGGGATAGAAGTTGGAGAAAAAGTGAATGAAGTCCTGTAGTTCAGACAAGGACATATCGGTGACGCCGATGCAATCATCGATATACCTCCTGTAGAGCTCGGGGAGCCTAACGGTATATGTATGATATATCTGATTCACAAGGTAGCCCATGAAGAAGCAGGCACAGCTAAGTCTAATCTTGGTGCCCATAGCGACGCCACTGATCTGGTTGAAATAGTGGCCATTAAACTAAAGTTTAGAGTGAGCACTAAAGCGGCCAGACGTTTTAAAGGGTCCATGGCTATAGCAGAACTGACTCTACGATCTAGAAAGAACCTCAAAGCCTGGAGGGCATCAGAATATGAAACAGATGTGTAGAGAGAGATAACATCTAAGGTGAAGATGTGGTACCTGGGAGAAGTGGTGAACCAGTTTTACTGAAAGACAGAGATAGCATGGTTGGTATCTTTGGTGTAAGATAAGAGACCAATGTTTAAAATGGAAATTTACTTTCCAATCACTCTGACTTCTTTTTCTTCTTCTTTACGTCTTCTTTTACCGCTTCAGGTGTCGAGGGAGATAAAAGGTCCTGCTTTGTGCTCTTCTGGCTGCTTCCAACATAGACACATCATGGTGCTGTAAAGTTTCTCTGATATTGTCTTCCCATCTTGTTCTTGGTCTGCGGGTTCCGTGGCTTAGGAGTTGCGAGTCTGACTTGTAATCCACTGTATGAGGCATCGTAGGTGGTCCTAGCCTAAAATGGGTACCAGGATGTCTGTCCTGGAGAAGTAAAGACGGCCGGCGTAATGCTAACCACAATACCCATCCAGTGCCAATATGGGACGCTCTTCCCATATACCCGATGCACCTAAGGCGTGAAAAAGGATCTTTACTTTACTTTACTTTGTTCTTGGTCTACCTCTTGCTCTACGTCCTTCTCTTCTTTTGGTATATGCCTTGTATGGTATAGCATCAGGAGGCATTCTCTCCAAGTGCGCAAATCACCCTGTTGAATACTGAAATCTAAGAGATGCTAAATCTTTAACAAAAACAAATCTAATTCACTGTCAGTTTGAACAAGAAAATTGTCTCTGCTTACCTTAACTGTTAACCTCAAGTCAAAGAAGGCTACATCAAATATCGTGGAATTATCAATATCCAGTACATTCTGTACTTGTGAGAAGAACGTCTTCATAGCAGCAGAGTACTGTACGTGCAACTCATTCAGCATGGCATCAAAGCTGGCACTACCAGCTCCCCCTGCTTCTATCACATCTGCCAGAAGTTGAAAGTGGCCGGTGGTTTCAACTAACTCAAGGACATCATTACATCTGTAGGTAAAATTACATCTGTTAGCTATATAGTAAAGATGCGGCGTCCGTGGCTTAGGTGTTGCGAGTCCAACTCCAACATACCGCGATTGAAACCCACTGCTGGCTGCGTAGATTTTTATCATGGGGCGTCGCAGGTCGACCCAGCCCAAAATGAGTACCAGGATGAATGTCCTGGGGAAATAAAGACGGCCGGCTTAATGCTGACCCCATTACCCACCTAGTACTGATTGGTCTGTAAAAATATGGGTGCTCTTCCCATATGCCTGATGCGCCTAAAAGCGTGAAAAGGGATCTTTACTTTTACTTTTTTATAGCAAAGATGGACTCACATGAATTCATCTTAAGGAAACATGAAATTGATCAGCTGTATACCAAAAATTGACTCAGATCAAATCATATGTAAGTAACAGAAAAATGGATGCTATATATTATTACATATAAAGTAAATCTCGGTCTTAGTCAATGTTTCAGCTTCACTGCAATGTAATGTAAATCGGGTTTCCCCCATCTTGTTCCGTTTCAATGCCAGTGAAAATTTTTTTAAATGTCCCTTACTGTCCCATTTGAAAAACTGGTGAACAATTAGTCCTAGCACAATCCAGAATTATGCGCACGCAATAAATGCATTTGGCCGTTGTTAGAGACGCCAAAGTCAACAGTCACCACAAAAAATACAGATTGTGGTTAAAGGAAGTAGTCAGGCATAAGCTGGCTATTCATGCGTAGTACATATTAACTTGTTTTATTACACCAGTCTTCTTCTTTTTCCTGTCAGCAATCACCAGTTTTAAATTCTTGCGGAAAATACTGGTTGTTCGTCCACTTCTGGACTTTGGTTCTTGTTCCTGAATTGAAGCATTGCCTGTTCACCCATTTTACAGATCTGGCATAATTGTACACAGACATTGGGTCACTCACTTCTTAGCCACAGGTATTCCATCTTTCAATGAAACGCCTCTAATTAGTTGTCTTGTGTGACATGCTTGTTGGGGGGAGGGATAGTGGATCTATTATCCCCCCCCCCCCCCCCCAAATGGGGTCCAGGAACCCACTCGGGGATATTGCCTTTATTTTTTTTTGCTGTAGCTTGTCAGGTGCTTATATCTACAGTGATACAGCATAATGTAGCAGGCAATGAAATGTGAAATACATTTTGTACCCTCATTTTTAAATGGAGAGCCATCGTGCTGTAATGACTAGATGCTCACCTGTAATTCCAGATTCAAATTCGAACAGAACTAGGCCTTGTTTTTTTTTGGTTTTTTTTGTTTTTTTGGGGTTTTTTTTTTTTCAAAAATGACCTAGCCTCCAAGCTGTACCTAGCCTTAAATGGTACCAGGTAAAGTTCTTGGAAATAATGACGGCCAGCATGATGTTGCTACATCACCCAACAACTGTCCATTGGTCTATAAAATATCTATGCCTGAAGATGTGAAAAAGAGTCGTTGGTTCTTAATTTATAACGTACCCCAAACACAAAATCCCTGTGGGAAATCCACAGCTGACCTGACAGTCCATTATTTCAAGGGGTGCAAGTGTGCTGTTGTGTGGTGTTTTTTTTTTTGAGTGTTTATCTAGTGTCTTCTAATCCTAACCCTAACCCTAACCCTAAGCCTAACCCTAACCGTAACCCTAAACTTGGCTGTAGATAAATCGCGAGAAACTACAACCTGAAAACCCTAGAATTTATTGGGATTGTCTCCCATGACGTAGTCGTGACGTCAGGGGAAAGTTATAAATTAAGTACCGAGTCGTTAACTTTTACTTTACTTACATTACATTATTTAAATTCATAACAGGAAAACATTGTTTTGAAAAAAGTCCTTGTTTTGAATTTTATCTACTGTCCTCTTCAAAAATGAACTTGTAAAAAACTAACCTTTCCATAAAACTGTTCAGCAGATCAAAGCAAGGAGCATTTCTAGCAGGCCAAGGGCTGTCTGTCAATAAATTATCTTCACTGGCAGAAGAACTAGACGTCTGTTCCTCCACACGCCGTAAGCCATACTGAGGTGTATAGACATAGGGTCCAGATACCTTTGTAGTGTAAAAGGTGTCCTGTGGCCTAGCTGCCCTGTGAATATAAAATTGGTGACAGGAAATAATCGGACATCTGGAGCAATTAATTAGGGAGACTCAACTGGACGGAAAATAACACATGTACATCTAGCACAATCTTTTATAAGCCAATCAGTATTCAGGTCTATGTCTGTACTTTTATAAGCCAATCAGTATTCAGGTCTACGTCCGTACTTTTATAAGCCAATCAGTATTCAGGTCTACGTCCGTACTTTTATAAGCCAATCAGTATTCAGGTCTATGTCCATACTTTTATAAGCCAATCAGTATTCAGGTCTACATCCGTACTTTTATAAGCCAATCAGTATTCAGGTCTACGTCCGTACTTTTATAAGCCAATCAGTATTCAGGTCTACGTCCGTACTTTTATAAGCCAATCAGTATTCAGGTCTACGTCCATACTTTTATAAGCCAATCAGTATTCAGGTCTACGTCAATGAGCAAAGCCCAGTTTTATTTCTTAGGACATTTCCTGGTTGCCATTTTATGCCCTGTGAGCCTAGCAGCGTAACAGACATTAAAAGGATTTGTTTTCACTCCTTTGGCTTACAGGGTATATAGTCTTCTTCTTCTGCCTTTCTATCCCCCAATGGAGCATAGGCCCTCAACCAACTCACGCCAAGTCGTTCTATCCTTCGCCATTGCATGGAGCTCTCCCCATGTCCTCCCAATCTTTCTAACCTCGTTCTCCAGCTCTCTTCTCCATGTGTTTTTTGGCCTTCCTTTATTCCTATAGGGTATATAGTGATAGACCTTTATTTTTACAGGCCAGTGGGATAATGTGGTCAACATCATGCAGGCCATCTTTACTTCCTCGTACATTAGCAATTTAGGCTGGGTCGACCGGCAAAATCTGCCTTGATAAAAATTTGAACCCTAGACCACCAAACTGGTCAGCAAGCTTCATTAACAGTACCTGTACGATAAAGAATTCCAGAGAAATTTGACTAAAAAGCTCAACAAAATGGGGAAGCAGAAAAACGAGCACAAAACAAGACAACGTAATGTTTCGGCCGGGCAGACTTTTTCAAACATAAGTGAACTAAACAAACTTAACAACGAGGAGAGGAGAGTATGTAGATCTCTAAGAGGTGACGTGAGCAACATTTAAAAAAATGTGATGTGGAATAAATGAAATAAAATAAAAATAAAAAGATGGCTAAAAAATATAGTCACAAAAAAATAAACAGTAGTATTGTTAATATATAATATAATACTGGGAATAAAAGAAATACAAATGTTAATGATACATAAATGATACTGATAAGAAATAGAACAAAGTAATACGATAAAGCTTGCTGGTTTCTAATCTTTAAACAGTATAACACTTCTGTGGAACTTTGTAGCTGACACTGATGAGCTGAGTTCATCATCAGTGTGAGATGAGTTGAGTTGAGTCAAGAATTGACATCACAGCACTCGGAGCATTCCCATGTGTGCTCCTTCCTCATCTTCAGCAGCCAGCGCAGAGTTCCATTACTGATGGTACCGGTCACAATCTGGTTATATGTCCGACTTGCCTTTCCTCTGAGTGTAGTGAGCCGGCCAGACCCTCTTGTTACACCCAGGTGCCTCATTCTCTCCAGGCCATAATAATCTTGTTTCTCTACTGATTCCGTTGCTTGTTCCCAAAGGGCCTTGACCACATCTGCCTTGTCATGTATCAATTCACCACCCAGTGGTGCAGATCCAGCCAGTCTGTCTGCCTGTTTTTTACCCACTATGCCGGCATTGCCTGGAGAAAAGATCCAAAGTATGCTAGTTACCCATGACATTCCCAGTGAAGCTTGCCATTCTGCTTGAAGCAGTGTGAAGATAAATCGTTGCATTAACTTACAATCTTTCAGCATTCTCAGCTACATTCTTGCTATTTTGGATATCTGCTTTGTCCTTGAAGTCCAAGTAAGTTCCCCTGAAAGCAGCACACATGTGCAGTACCTCCTTCAGCTTGGAATAAGACTGAAATAATAATTACACAAATCAATAACCATAAAGTAGCAGAAATGAAAATAGATTATCTTAAAGCAAGCTGAACATGAAATGATATTTTCACTTTAAAATGTTGATTGGCTCTACTTTTCAAGAATTTTGCTACTGGTTTATTTAATTACGGTCAATATATATATATATATATATATATATATATATATATTTTACATTAATTAAATAAACCAGAGAGAGAGAGTGTGTGTGTGTGTGTGTGTGTGTGTGTGGTGTGTGTGGTGTGTGTGTGGTGTGTGTGTGCGTGCATGCGTGCATGCGTGCGTGCGCGTGTGTGTGTGTGTGAGAGAGAGAGAGAGAGAGAGAGAGAGAGAGAGAGAGAGAGAGAGAGAGAGAGAAGAGAGAGAGAGACATAATACATATCAGCCACTGCATAATTGTTTTCTAATGACCAATAAAATTGTAAGCTGATGATGCAATCCCATCCATGATTACCTTTGTGTATGAATATTTTATCTCTGATAAAAATGTTGCCATTAGTTATGGCAGTGGTTCTCAACCTAGAAGTCATGACCCCTTTTTGGGTCAAACGATCCTTTCATAGGGGTCGCCTAAGACCATGGGAAAACACATCTTCATTAAAGTTATGAAGATAAATAATTGTGTGCGGGTCGCCACAACATGAGGAAGTTGAATTAAAGGATCGAGTTAAAACCCAGTTAGAATATTTATAATTACCAAAAGTATTGTAGTTTTAAATGCCTATAACATGTAGGAACAGTACTAACAATTTATGTTCTTTTTGAGGTAACATTTCTATCACAAAAATGAAATATAACTAAAGTGATTAAAAAGGTGTACTGTTTATATTCTGGCTGCAGAATAGGAGATCAAGATAGGAGCTGGGTGCAACACATATTCTGCAATTCATATGCCTTCTGCAGTCCTATAAAACGGATGCACAGGCAACACTCAGGTTCTGGAACAGGACTGCAGTCCAGAAGTGGATGAACAACCAGAACTTTCCGCCAGAGTTTACAGCTGGTGAATGCAAAGAAGAAGAAGAAGAAGATATGCCTTTTGCAGTCCCAGTGATTTGGAGAGAACCCACCGATCATCTCAACAACTCTTTCTTTTGCAGGGTCCCTACAGTTGCGAAAGAGATATCAACAAGTAAAAAATATACTCTGGAATATCTAAACATCTTCTCTACAATACATCCAGTGCCACACGACGATGACCTGCCAGCTCCCAAAGTGCCCAAATCATTTTCAGCTGTTTCCACTGATGAAGAAAAGTCCTGAACCATAAACCTCAAGCAACCCAGATTTTAGCGAACTTTTCTATTAAACCGCACTAAATATCCCAAAGTAAGCTGAATGACCTTGTAAGAGATCTCAGTTTACTGAAGGACAAGGCAAAGCTTTTTGGTTCCAGACTACAGCAATGAAATCTAGCAGAAGACAAGTGCTATCAGCAGCCGTCTTTTTCAATGTGTTTGAAAATTTAATAATTACCTGGCATTGATTTTCTTGTGTGCCTTCACCATAACAGAGTTTGGCTGCAGTGTATCTACGGCTGTCTTTGGAGATATTATGTGGCGAGGTTTCAATATCTTTGTCATTGGCCTTTTTTTTTTCCTTTCTAGCTGGTGACTCCAAGTGTTTGTATGTCTGCCTGCATATTACATCACAAGGGTCTTCTTGGTCTGTCTCATGGTCAATGCCAGTTCAACTGTTTTGTGCATATATTTTTTTCTCTCTCTCTGTTTTTTGTCATTCTCTCTGTATGTCCCAACCATTGCAGGCTATTAGCCCTCATAATGCCAGTAACTAGTGATGATTTAAACAGATGATGAATTTCTGTGTTACTTCTTACTCTCATTTCTCAGCTGTTTGTGTCTTTGATGCATTCAAACAGTCATCGTAAGATTACTTTGAAAAAGTTTGTAATAATGCTTCCTTCATCTCTTGTAGTAGATCTCCAAGTTTTAAAGTCATACAGGACAACTGGTTTTAGCAGTATTTTATATACTGTGATCCTGGTGTTGTGAGATTAAGCATTTAATTTTAGCAGATATTGTAGAAACTTTATGACCTTAGTATATATACTACACCAGTTTACTTGTAATTCTTATGAAAAGCTGATATCATCTCATATTTTTAGATAATGTAAACCTCATGTGGGTTCCAGTCGTCACATGGGGGGGGGGGGGGGGGACAGCCCAATGCCCCCTAAAAAGTACGTCATAAAACGTGAATAGTTAGGAGTTTGCTCAAATCAGTTAGACTAAAATTGCAGTCAAGCTGTAAATAACAAAACAACATTACAGCCATCTTTTTAAAGGTAAATGTAGAAGAAAAAAAATCACATAAGTGTTTACGTGAAAAGTAAAGCTCCGATATGACAAAACATGAGACACTAAGACAACAATCAGCACCCACAGACTTTGACATCCACCGAGAGAAAATTAGCACACCCATGGGTTTGTCCCAAGTGAAGTTACTATTATTATTTCTATACAAAAGCAAGGTAGACTGAAAAAAAAAACAAATTCTACCTCTGTTCAACCTAAATTAACTGAACTGAACATTTCTGTCATTATTTACTTCAGCCTGTCACACTGTTCCCACCTCTAGAGGTTCCTTCAGCACATCTTCCCCAGACCATAGCTCTGGCTCTATGCACCACTTCATTGGAGAGAAGTCTTAAGAGATGCTGAAACTTATCTGTCTGATGGTAATATCTGCAACATATAGAAAATAAACACCCACCTATATGATGAGTTGTAACATACATACCATTGCTTCTAATCAGTCAGTTGCTACAGTAAAATCAAGAAAATGACACTTTTAATACACATTAACATTTAGTACAAGTGGCATTTACTGCAAGCAAACATTTTTGGATTTGGAGGTGACCAATTGTTTGTTCATCAGTTTTTCAAATGTGACAGTGAGGAACATTTCATTTTAATTTTGCACAGGAAAGGAGGATGTGTGGGGTGACCTGACTGCAGTGAAGACTAGGACTAAGATTGAGATTAAGTTACAT